GTATATTGCTAAAAGGGTCAACGCAGCTGAGTAAAAGAGTGCAAAGTGAACCTTAATTGTTGTTTGTAGGACTTTACAGCTACAGGTAACAAATGCATTTTTTTTTCTCCCACCGATTCGTTTTCTCTTTGTAACATGTCAGTAAGACAAGTTCAAAAATCTGAAACAATTTACAATAAAAAAAAAATGCTATTTTTATTATTACACTATTAACAGAAGAAACACATGTCATCCACTTATGTTCATGACAGCGGTATAGATGATCAGCTTATATTGAGAAATGACAGAGTTGATGCTGCTTTAGTCAAAATTTGAAAGAAAAATAAATAGATAATATGTCCAGTGAAGTCTCATGCAATATTATGAGGTGTCATAATCTGGGAATTTGTTGTAAATGACTTTCAGCTACTACTGCACTGAATTTTACTCAATATTTATACATTTGACTGAATTATAGTCATTCTTGTGTTAACTAATGTTGATTAGCTGTTGTGGCCATCTTGAATTTAATTGACTTCAAAAGTAATTAGCTGTACAGTGGTGCTTGAAAGTTTGTGAACCCTTTAGAAGTTTCCATATTTCTGCATAAATATGACCTAAAACATCATCAGGTTTTCACACAAGTCCTAAAAATAGATAAAGAGAACCCAGTTAAACAAATGAGATCAAAATATTATACTTGGTCATTTATTTATTGAGGAAACAATCCAATATTACATATTTGTGAGTGGCAAAAGTATGTGAACCTTTACTTTCTGTATCTGGTGTGACCCTTCTGTGCAGCAATAACTGCAACTAAACATTTCCAGTAACTGTTGATCAGTCCTGCTCACCGACTTGGAGGAATCTGAGTCCATTCCTCTGAACAGAACAGCTTCATCTCTGGGATATTGGTGGTTTCCTCACATTAACTGCACACTTCAGGTCCTTCTACAACATTTGGACTGGATTAAGATCAGGACTTTCACTTGGCCATTCCAAAACATGAACTTTATTTGAACCATTCTTTGGTAGAACAACTTGTGTGTTTAGGGTCATTGTGTTGCTGCGTGACCCACCTTCTCTTTAGATTCAGTTCATGGACAGATGTCCTGACATTTTCCTCTATAATTCTCTGATGTAACTCAGAATTCATTGTTCCATCAATGATGGTAAAGCCTTCCTGACCCAAATGCAGCAAAACTGGCCCAAACCATGACACTACCACCACCATGTTTCACAGATGGGAGAAGGTCCTTATGCAGGAATGCATTGCTGTCCTTTCTCCAAACAGAACACTTTTCATTTAAACCAAAAAGTATTATTTTGGTCTCATCTGTCCGCAAAACATTCTTCCAACAGTCTTCTGGCGTGTCCACGTGATCTTTAACAAACTGCAGATGAGCAATAATGTTCTTTTTGGAGAGCAGTGGCTTCTCCTTCAACCCTGCCATGAACCATTGTTGTTCAGAGTTCTCCTGATGGTGGACTCATGAACATTAACATCAGTCAATGTGAGAGAGACCTTCAGTTGTTAGAAGTTACTCTGGAGTCCTTTATGACTTCACTGACTATTCCACTCCTTGTTCTTGGAGTGATCTTTGTTGGTCCACCACTCCTGAGGAGGGTAACCTCCATTTGTTCACAATCTGTCAGACTGTGGATTGGTGGAGTCCAAACTCTTTACAGATGTTTTTTAACCTTTTCCAGCCTGATGAGCATCAACAACTCTTTTTCTGAGCTCCTCAGAAATCTCATTTGTTCGTGCCATGATCCACTTCCATAAACATGTTGTGAAGATCAGACTTTGATAGATCCTGTTCTTTAAATCAAACAGGGTGTCCACTCACACCTGATCATCATCCCATTGATTGAAAACACCTGACTCTTTACTTCACCTTCATATTAACTGATAATCCTAGAAGTTCACATACTTTTACCACTCACAAATATGTAATATTCGATCGTTTCTGTCAATAAATAAATGACCAAGTATAATATTTTTGTCTCATTTATTTAACTGGGTTCTGTTTATCTACTTTTAGGACTTGTGTGAAGATCTGTTGTTTTAGGTCATATTTATGAAAAAAAAAAAAAATTCTAAAAGGTTCACAAACTTTCAAGCACCACTGTATTTGGCATGAATTAAAGTAAGTTTTTGAAGTTGAGTACATTCTTCTCATACACATGCATCACATAATCAGGCCACAAGAGACTCTTTAACTGACTCAAGCAAGGCCACAGACACAACAGGAAGAAAAAATATCACACGCATACACACAAAGTATCCCCACAGACATCCCTGTCAGCATCTGCTTCCTACATGACTAAGAAACTTAAAACCTGTAATTTAAGGGAAAAAAAAAAAAAACTCCATTGGAATGCAATAAATTTTGTGACAGTGGAGAGAAAAGAAAGCAGAAGATGAGAAGAAAGAGAATATCATCAGACGCAAGTCAGTTTCCTCCTCTGCAGCATTTATGTGTGTGTCCATGTCTGTGTGTCAGGGTGGGGTGTTGGTGTTAACTGATACAAGATCAAGCTGGGTGGTCCAGGGCCTAGGCACACACCATTTTTGTGTACAAATAAACGTAACCCCCACACCATTGTGGCCACTCCTACAGCTTTCTCCCCCATCTCTGGTCCTCACAGCTGCACAGCGTGCATGTGTAAACACCTACACACACATTCAAAAGTGTGTGAGCTTCTGCTCCTCCCTCAGGAACACTGTAACTGAGTACTGCTATTAAGAGACAGTAATGATCTGATAATAGGTAGTGTGGTGACACGATCACTTGGATCCGCTCAGTGCCTTCTGTCAAACTTCTTCTTTCAGCTTTTCCCTCTTCATTGGTCTCCACAGTGAGTCGTCCTCCTCCATCTATGTCCCCTGCATCCTCTGTCCTCACTCCAACTACCTCCATGTCTCTAACTGCATCCATATATCTCCTCTTTGTCTTTTTCCTGGCAGCTGCATTGCTAACATCCTTCTACCAATATACCCACTGTCCCTCCTCTGGACATGTCCAAACCATCTCAGTCTGGTCTCTCTAACTTTATCTCCCAGTTCAACCTGTGCTGTACCTCTGATGATCTCATTCCTAATCTTATCCATCCTTGTCACTCCTAGGGAGAACCTCATCTTCATTTGTGCCACTTCCAGTTCTTTCTCCTGTCTCAAGAGAAGATAAAACTTTATTGATTCCACAGGAGGGCAGCACGGTGGCACAACTAGTAGAGCTGCTGCCTCTCAGCGAGAAGGTTGCCGGTTCAAATCCTGGCATGGGGGCCTTCCTGGGTGGAGTTTGCATGTTCTCTCCGTGCATGCGTGGGTTTTCTCCGGGTACTCCGGTTTCCTCCAACAGACCAAAAACATGCATGTTAGGCTGATAGGTAACTCTAAATTGTCCCTAGGTGTGAGTGAGAGAGTGAATGGTTGTTTGTCTCGTTTGTCTCTAAAATGTGGCCCTGTGATGGACTTGCGACCCGTCCAGGGTGTACCCTGCCCCTCCCACAGTGATTGCTGGACATGGGCACTGGCGACCCCCGCGACCCAAAATGGAAGAAGCGGGTAAAAGATAATGGATGGATCCCACAGGAAATTGTTGTGCCAGAGTTTCAGTACAAAGGGACATACACAAGGAAACACACAAGATGTAAAAAAAGTTAGAGAATATAAAAATACCAGCAATTAAGTTCTAAAACAGGTCAAGTGCATACATGTGTAAAATGTTTTAATGTTTTGATGTGAAAACAGTCAAGTGTTTATTGTAGTCCAGGATCAATTTTATTGTCCTATAGAAAGGGGGAGGAGTTGAACAGTTTGATAGCCACAGGGAGGAAGGACTTCCTGTGTTGTTCTGTGGAGCACCTCGGTGGTCTCAGTCTACGACTGAAGGTGCTGTGGTAAGAGTCCAGGGTGTCATGCAGGGGGTGTGACGTGTTGTTCAGGATCTGGAGCCGTTTCCTCAGCATCCTCTGCTCAGACACCTCTGTCAGAGACTGCAGGTCCACTCCCAGAACTGAACCAGCTCTCTTCATGAGTTTACCGAGTCTGTTGGCATCAGCTTTCTTCACCCTGCTGCCCCAGCACACCACAGCATAGAAGACGACGCTGGAGACCACCAAGTGGTAAAACATCTGCAGCATGGTCCTGCAGACGTTAATGGACCAGAGTCTCCTCAGAAGAAAAAGGCGACTGTCCTTTCTTGTAGAGGACATTGGTGGTAGCTGTCCAGTCCAGTTTATTGTCTAGGTGGACCTCCAGGTACTTGTAGCAGTCCACAGTGTCCACCTTAGTACCCTTGATGTTGATAGGGTTGGGGGGCTGATCTTCTTTCTGTAGTCCACCTGCAGCTCTTTAGTTTTTCCAGTGTTGAGTTGCAGGTGGTTCTGTCCACACCACTCCACAAAGCTGTCCACCACACTTCTGTATTCAGCTTCTTGGTCACCAGTGATGCAGCCCACAATGGCAGAGTCATCCAAGAACTTCTGCAGATGGCAGGATTGTGAGTGTTTTTGTCAATGTCTCTGTCTCCAGACCATACATCATGTCTGGTCTCACCACTGTCTTGTAAACTTTTCCTTTGACATTTGCTGATGTTCTTTTGTCGCAAATCACTCCTGAAACTTTTCTCCATCCACTCCATCCTGCCTGGACTCTCTTTTTCACTTCTTTACCACAATCCCCATTTTCTTGGACAGTGGACCCCAAGTACTTGAAGTCCTGCACCTTTGTGACCTCACTGTTCCACCGGCCTCCCTCTCATTCACATGCACCTTGTCTTGCTACGGCTGACTTTCATTCCTCTTCTTTCAAGTGCATACCGCCACCTCTCCAAGTTCTCTTCCACCTGTTCCCTGTTCTCACCACAGATCACCTTCAGTCAAACATTGCTTGCAAAAAAACAACTGATGAAATAAACACAAACGTTCATGAGTTGAAGATAATTTCTCTTTATTAAAAAGAAAAATAAAATAAAGCCAAGGAGAGCAGAACAGTTAAGCAGCATCCAGGCTTCTGATTGGTTAGTCAGCTGGGAAATAAGTTGTTCAATTGGTTTTCTGCTCTCAGGTCAGTTAATGAGGCGGTTTTCTTCTTTCATGAAAAAGTTAGATCTCCATCAGTTGATCCGTTCCAACAATGACCTCGTTCGTCCGGTCAGCTGAAAAGGAAAGAAACGTTTATTTAGAATCACTACATTTGCTCCCAGTTTGTTTCTGGATTGATTTTAAGGTTATTTTATTTGTTTTTAAATGTCTTCATGGTCTCGCCCCACAGTATCTGTCCGACCTGCTCCAGCTGTACGTTCCCTCACACACTCTCAGGTCAGCAGATCAGCTGCTGTTGGTCGTTCCAAAGTCTAACAGGAGGCTGAGAGGTGACCAAGCGTTTTCAGTCGCCGCCCCTAAACTGTGGAACGAGCTGCCTTTGTACGTCAGACAAGCTGACTCACTTCCTGTTTTTAAATCTTATTTGAAGACACCTTTTCATCTCTTTGGCTTTTATATCAGCGTGAAATGTTGGTTTTTACTGTTTTTAAGTTATTTGTTTTATTGTTTTTACAGTTTGCTGTTTTATGATTTGGTAGTTCATTAATTGTATGGTATCTGTTGAGTTTATAGTTTTTATGCTTGTATGTGTTAGTGTACAACACTTTGGCCAACAGTGTTAAATAAAGCTGTTTTATATTGTATTGATTTTAAATGAAAGACTTTAAGACATGGACATCAGAACTTGCCGGTCCACCTCTGACAGTTGCGGTAAAAGATTTTTAACAAAAATAAATAAATAAATAAATCAAAAAGGTAAAAATGCCCACGTCACTAATAAATTTAATATGTATGATGCTCCATCTGAATGTGTTGAGACCAAAATTATTAATTACAACTGTAACATCACAACCAAATACAAGTTGTGCTAATGAACATGTAATACGTGATGCAGGTGAGTGTTTTGTACACAGTAGTCCCTCGTTTATCGCAGGGATTTCCATTTCCATACCCTGCCCCACTCCCCACAATAAGTGAAAATAGTAGTTTATTTTAGTGTATATATATATATATATATATATATATATATATATATATATATATATATATATAAAAACTTAAACTAGCAAATAAACTCTAAGCGCTCTAAAAGAGCACAGTATGTCATGATCTCCTCTCTCTGCCACCTGCTGCTCTCTGCAATCTGCCAGCACTCTTGGCCACACCCACTTCTCCCCTGCAGAGTGGGGATCATGACACTTTGCAGGAGGGAGCTTCTCCCTGCACCTGTGGGCTGCACACAGGTGCAGCATGTGCTAAATAATTTAAAATAATTAATTTTAAATAAAAATCTGTGCCAATCGTGTAGCACATCCATCAATCAACCAATTGTGTGTCATGTCCAATCTTACTTTGAAAAACCGTGAAAGAGTGAGTCTGCAAAAGTCGAACCTCAAAGTAGTGAGGGACTACTATATTTGCACAGAGTCAGGGAACATTTACACAAATACAGTTTGAACCAATACTTAAGCAATGCTACTTAATTTTTTAAATTAATGTAACAAGAGCTACTTGACTGCTTGAACACTTTGTGCACATTAAAAATTATACTCCAAATCAGAATTATTATTTTTGTACATGATTTTTGTTCAGTTTCAGTTACACACAAAATGTTCAATTGATTGATTATTTGAAAAAAAAAAAAAAAATAACTGCAAACAATTAGAAAAGCAAAAGGTCTATATTGATACAGGAAGGGATGTTAGAGACCAGACACCTCAAACTTACTTTTTTCTTAGTCTAGACCTGTATCATATATATTTTTTAACCAAAATTGAATTCATTTAGCATTAAATTGTTCACTTTGCCTTTCATTTTCTCTTTGTTTAGGTCTATTAAAAATTCTACTAGGATTCAGCCTTTTAATTTGCTTTGGAAGTGAATCAGTTGTAGAGGTACATGCAATGATTACTTTCTAGGAATTTCATTAAAGCGATAAAACAGCAGGTTGGAACAGTCTAAGCAGATCCACACACAAGGAAAACAGCCACAATCACAAATTTATTGCTGCAGGTTGTCACGAACATCTCATTTATCAAAAACATTTTAAATGACAACTTAATAAATCACTTCAGGTGCATATATTTGGATACAGTAAATACATAAATGAAATCTATAAGTTCCAGGCAGCCATGAAACAGAGTGTGCTGTAGTTTGAATATTAATTCGTTCTTAAAATTTAATAAAAAAAAATATATATATCTGCTTCAGAATCTTGAATAGAATACAACTCACTCTAAATGCTACACTGGCCCTTACAAACTAATCAACTCATTTTTAAATGAACCAAGTTTGGCTTTCTTAATCAACTTTCCTAACCCAAAGCTACACTCGGTTTAAGGAGCGCAGCCACAACTTCTCCTTAGATCCCTCCATCACTAAGGTACCGGTACTGTTCCAAAGTAAACGGTGGCAGAGAGCAATGTTCCATCCACACAGACCGGTTTTAGTGTGAAGGAATCTGTTGCTCAGAATGAGCTTACCACTGTTGTGTGAAGAGGAGGACAAATGAAGCATGGGACAGCAGGGGAAGGAAGAGGAGATGGGAGTGAAAGGGAAGAAAAGCCAGATGAACTGTCAGAAACTAGTGTCGCTGTGTTGCATGGATACCACATTTCTTTTACTCAGGCTGATACCAGGCAAAGTGTAAACCTAAAATAAAAACGGTTCAGCATTTGTCTCAACAAATGCAGAAAGATGTGATTTTACTGTGAACAGATTGCTCTCATCAACACAGTGGGGAAGGCTAAAAGAATGAAAAGAAGAGTATTTCTCTATAGTTACTGTATAAATGGACATCAAAGCGTGCTGGAAGGAGGTATTCATCTTTTACATATCAACACCCGATGGACCAATATGAATGCAACGTGTGTGTCTGTTTGTCTCAGGCTGTCAGGGTGGTCTTTGGCTGCTAACAGCCTCCGCAGTGGGGTGGGCGGCTAATGTCTTTAGCAGCCTATGGTCAGCCAGCTACATTGGCAACAAGAAGCAATATTGTATTTACTTAAACATTTAATATGACTACAATATAAAAAAGAGGAGAGGAGCTTTCCATTTAACAGAGTTTAATATAAAAATCAAGGACAGGAGCCGATTGCAAACCGCTGTGGAGAGATTTAAATTAAACAGTTGATATCTTTAACAAACTTTTTACATTTAAAAAAGATAAATCTGGTCCTCTGGACATTCAAAAAACAAAACGAAGCAAAACAACAAAAATTAGAAATGTTTAGTCTTTCATCCGAAAGACTTCCTCAGTCTCAGGTGCTGTATTCAGCTCAGTCTCTTAAATAACACCTTCTCAGAGTGGATCAACCGGTTTGCTGCTGACAACCAAAACCAGCTGATCACATGGTCAAGAACCATCAGCCTAATGATGGATCATAAATTTGGTCCAGAGGACCAGATTTAACTTTTTTAGATTTTTCTACCTGGATTATTGAGCATGCATCAGGATATTTTTTTCATTTAGTTGTACTTCATATTGATTGTGTTACTGGAAAAAAGCCAGATTAATATAAATAAAATAAACTGGATGATTCCAGGACATCAGATGTGAACTCTTGTAAATCTCCAGTGCTTTCTTTCAAATATGGTAAAATACTTATTCATTCAAACCTTTTATTTATGTGGTGTCTTACGTGTTTCTATGCTAACAAAACACCAGCAATTTATATACATTTGACTTGTCACTACTACGCACAATACAAATACAAAACACATGTTTACTAGTCTACTAAAGAGATTATTTTTAAATTATGTATTTATTGATAAAATATTGATAAAAATATAAAAAGTGCATTCTAAAAAGCCAGTTGTGTTTACTAAAATTATGTGGGACAATAAAGACGGATATTATGAAACAAAGATCTACATTCTAGGGGTGCACCGATAAATCGGCCCTGATTTCCTTAAATTTGGGTGATCGGATATCGGCCGATACCACTTTTAGAAACCAATTTTTATGTAGTTTTAACAATTGTCTAAACTTCATTTATATTTCAGAGCACTACCTCATGGCCAGTTGACACAAGTTTGTACTGTTTCAAGGGTATGATTTTCAATAAAATAATATTGGAAAATTGAAGGTGCATTGTGACTTATACCACCTGACAGTGTCGCTTATAAAACTAAATCGGTATCGGCCATAATTGAGTAGGCAGGTCAGACTTTTTAGAGATCGGTGATGGGCCAAAAAACTGCATTTGGTGCAGCCCTACTACATTCTATTAGATAAATAGAAGCTGGAGGTTTGTGCGACTACAGTATTTTGTGCAACATTTGTGTACTCGGCTTAAGGTTGCAGAGCATTAAGTGAATAAGCACTAGACTGAGGAACAGCTTCTACCCTGAAGCTGTTACTCATAGATCCCTATATTGGATTATCACTGTGAGAGGAAAAAAAAAATCACTGTAATGCCAGTTTGATTGATGATATGTGATGCTGATTATCCATGCTGCTGATCTCATGCTGCTGATTATTTCATGCTGCTGTATTCATTCATACTCATCCACTCACACAGACTCATGGTCGTGCTGCTGTTGTTCAGCGTATTGTTTTGCACTATTAGTGTGTAGCGTATTTCTTAGTTTATATCTTAGATCCTTAATTATCGTTTTTTATAATTTATATTTTTGCTATTGTTGGATGTAACTGGGACCCTGTGTACACAATTTCATTCCACCTCATGTACCACATGTAATGCGAATGATAATAAAACCTACTTGAACTTGAACTTAAGTTTCTTGAGTTTAGTATCATAATCGAATATTTTAATAAAAATAACTAAAATAAAAAAAGGATGTTAAAGCAAGATAAGCTTTGTTGCTGAGCAATGACACACCCGTTGCTCCAAAGAGGTCTCAACAGTTTCATTTGATTAAGTTTTTATCTCAAATTCAAAGCGTTGTTGCCTGGAGCTCCCTGCTGTTCACTCAATTAGGCTGCTCAGTCTGGTAGGCGAGCTTGCTCCCTATTTCTTACGTTTGAGGGTGTGTGTGCATGTGTGTGCACGTGCATGTGGATGTGGCTGCAGGCTGCTGCTGTTGAATTCCGGGTGGTCCTGTTCTGGCCCTGCTCTCTAACCCCTCCATCAATGTAACACACACTAAGACACAGTCGTACACACAGCTAGCTTTGGGGACAAGAAGAAGATTAAAAAATATATCAAAATAAATATTTGACAAATCAAACTTCAGACTGAATAAACTTCTTTTTGGCTCAGAATGCTTGGTGGCACATATAAACAGATACCACACGCTTAAATTAACACTTTATTTGAGTCAGCCACAGAAATGAAACGAGATTAGCAATAAAACAACAAAACTTGGACATAACCTCTCACTGATAGCACTTGTTTGAGTGTAGTGGCTATTTACTACAATGGATACTGGAATCATTAAATAACACAGTTTGACACTTTGTGTATAAGTATACAGTTGCAATTGATGCATCACTTTCACCTAAACCATTTTGATATATTTTGATGTGTCCTTTTTACTGGGAAATGAGAACCTTGACAGTTATTTATTGTGCAGAAGAAAAATCATTTTGTTTTGAAAAATATAATCTTTTAACCTTACAGCTGGTCAAGCCCTTATAAAGTATGAAAAGAGTACAGCATATGTCACATTATTCGCCCATCAACTAATTATTATACAGCAATCTATAGCAATGATCTGGACAATCAAAGATCTTGTATACCATTTGATCTTGATTTGTGATCTTGACCATGAAGCAGGAGTGATGAAAAGTGCATGTGACACTCCCGTCAAGTGATGATGCACGCGTGTATCAAGTTTCGTTAAATTATCTTGCGCACGAGAACATTAACGGATGTACAAAGAAAATACCATATGTCCCGCCTTGGAACGGTGTATAAAAATATTCTAATTTTTCATAACACAACATGCCAACGATCCAATATTATATATCGTTAAATCTGTTTGTTTAACATTTGCTAGTGTGTTAATTAGAACAACTGAGTAACTCTCTGATCTTAATAGGAACTGGACAAATAACACTTTACAAAGTTTGCTGTGGAGTTGTTTGTTCAATCACAGCAGACAGCAGCTTACAGAGTCTCAAACACACTGCATTGCAGAGCCACTCACATGACAACACATGAGGTGGACACCAGATGAGCTTCTACTTTTTATTATATTTGGCTTAAAAAAAAAATAAAATCAACCCACATCCTGTGTTTTCTGCTTTAACGTCACAAATTAGGAGGTTTTAAAGAAAAATCTTATCATTAATATATGTCACAAATCAAGTGTGGCTTAAAGGTATGTGCTGACAACCTAAAAAAATAAGAAGAAATTCAGAATCTGCTTTTACGTGTGCATGCGTTTTTATTAGTCTCACCTGCTGGTTCGATTCTTTGTCCGTTTCCCACCAAACAGTATTTGAGGTCTGCTCCTCTGCCAATAATTGCATTACTGCAGATCACACTGCCCTGGATGTTACATCTGCAAATAAAAGATACAAGTTCTATGAACTGAGTGTTTGCTGGATTTATACAAACTTGTGTCTACTTCCCATTAAATTTCTGCGTAAGGAGGTGATCATCTGTGCACAGAAAACAGTTAATATCAACAATCTAGCGCTCCTTTAGGTAGAGAGAAGACACCTAAAACCAGACGCAGCAGTGCTTGATCAAAAAATAAAATAAAAGCGTTTAAATAGACTTTAAAGTGACTTCACTGAATCTAAGTAGTAAAACAGTTGTGAAGGGAAATCCACTAATACACTTCTCTTACGTGGTAACTCCAAGCTCCAAGGAGGTGAGTCAGTGACTGATGAGTGTTGAAACATTATTTTTCAACCTGGGTGCATGTTTTCTAGGCCCTTATGTATAGAAATGAATGCCCAAGCACATACACACACCGGAGTACCTCCAACCATGGCCTTCCTTCCACAGCTGCTTGCTCACCGAGCAAACAGTGTGGACAGGGAGCCACAACAGAGCTCGTACTTTCCCCTCCACATCAAGGATCCTCAGACCTGCCATAAAAACTCTAAAATATCCAATCAGCTGAACTTAATGACATGTCATTAGCATACATGTTAGGCAATAATAACAGCAACCTAGTTTGTGAGTGTCTTGTGTGTGTTGCGCTACGCCGGCAGTGCCAACCCACCATGCATGCTCACATTCAGCCAAACCATCACCATAAAATTCTTGGAGACAGACACAGACGGCCTTCTGTGTCCACCGCCGACTAACCATAAAGGGCGTGTATGTGCAAGTGTGTGTGAGATTGAGAACGTGTGTGTTTCAGTAGCTCTGGAAGCCCAGTGGAGAACACAGGTGGGTCTTGCCCAGGCAGTGACGCACACACACTTGGCCCATGTACCCCTCTCTCTCTCTCTCTCTCTCTCTCTCATACACACACATGCACACACACGTTCGTATTGCTCTATTTTATTCAAGTGGTTAGGCCAGTGTGTGTGTGTGTGTGTGTGTGTGTGTGTGTGTGTGTGCGTTTAAGTGACTACCTAGGAGGTGGTGGTGGTAGTTGGTGATGGGAGATTACAAGATTCAGAGTTTTGTAACATTAGAGAGAAAGAGAGACCACCAAAGAAGCTTCGAAGCTGAAACACCACTAATTACTAACACCAGGGCTCCTCCTTGTCATGACCCCCACATCCTCCCTTCCCATTACACAAACACACACATACACACACATTGCACAAACACATATACACATATCGACCCCCACCTCCTGTGCCAACCCCCCTATAAAGTTGACCCCTGCTAGTCCCCCTCCCAAACACGCAGTGCTTTGTCAACAAGCTCTGGTCAGCTCCAAACAAAGAAACCAGAAATGTGAGGGGTTTTTGCGACATGCCTAGGGTCTGCTAATCCCCTCATACTGGCTCTTTCTTTCCTTCTTTCTCCTTCCTTCTTATGTCCTCAGAGCAAGAAAAGAAAGAATTGCAATTTCTTTCTTGCGTGCTAGCTTGCTTTTCCCTTCGCTTCTTTCTTCCCTTCTCTTGTCTCTCATTCTTTAATGGCTTTGTGCGTGCACCTACACGGGCATGATGAGGGTGGCTGGCTGGGGTCCCTGAAAGGCTTAAGAAAAGATGGTAAGGGACAGAAAGAGAGGGAGCAATGGTGTTGGAGCCTTGATGAAAAGAAAAGGAGGAGGAGTAAGAAATTGAGATAAAAGAAAAGGAGCCTATGAATGAGTGCATTAAAATCTGGACTCGAGGCCAAGATGAGTGTCTTTCCTCTAAGATTTTTGGCTATGAGGCTAAACAGATCAATCTAGATGCTAATTTTACTGTAGCCACTGCTGCTCCCAGTGCAAGTTCTCGTAGCCACAAAGCAGTTCGTTCTTCAAGTTAAGCCCAATGTTCGTTGTCTGCAAATGTTCATCAAGCCACATCAGTACTAATTTTACTGCCATTATAAAACTATGAAGCAGATTATACTAATTTTTTTATTCCACAGAGGAGTTGGAGCCAGTTTTAGTTCCTTCATGTGGCATTTCAACTTTTAAAGAATTCGAACAGACCTTTTTAAACGTCTGATTTGCACTAATAAAAAAAAGCTGCACATTTTTAAACATTTAGGCCAATTCTTTGAAGTGGTGGTTGGAAATTTTTGCTAAATTATTCTTTTGTTGTTGTTGTTGTTGTTGTTGTTGTTGTTGTTGTTTTACAAACAACAAAAAACAAACACAAAGAAATTTAAAAAAGGACAGAATTGAGTAATAAAATAGTTAATGGTAATAGAAAAGTAAATTCAGTTGTGAAGCTGTAATCATTATGTCAAATTTCTGGGGATAATGAAACATTTAGCACATTTAAGGACAACCATTAAAATAGAAGTGTTTATTTTAACGTCCAAGAAGAGATCTCTCACATGCCAGCTGAAACATATGCATGTGTTGTTTGACTTCAGCAGCTTTGTGCTTGTTTGGCACTGGTCTTTGGCTGCTCTCACACCAGTAGATGCTTTGTTCACGCAGCGATTCCTATTTGACCTCAGAGAGCACAAAAGACAAAACCTGCTACACCTCCTAGACACACATATATGTGAGCATCTGTCTTACACACACACCATTTGGGTTAAAGCATCAAGAAAATTTAATAAAAAACAAAACTGCACCGAATGAGAAAGTTTATCACAACCTATATTAACAAAAAAGGCAAAAATCACATGGAACTTGAGCAGAAAAGAGCACATTTGTTTCAGAATATTTTCTTATAAACCACTGGACTTGAAAGTACATGTTTTCAACAAGTGTGTGCATGTGTGTTTATAGACGTGTGTGTTCTCACCCTTCCTCGACAGTAACTCCATGCATGATGATGGAGTTGGCGACTTTGACCTTCTCCTTCACGGTGGTGGAGTTCCCGATAGTGGATCTTTTTATGGAAGTCTTATCTGCTATCTGGCACAGAGCTCCGACCATACTGTCTGATCCCATCTGTGAGCAGAACCCAAACACTAACAACTCAAAAATACACACATACTACACAATAAGCAGATTCTCGTAACACATATTGCTGACTTAGTAAACTTTTTTTTTCTCACTCCTAATTAAAAATTACATTTAAAAAGTAAGGACCTGATGTGTGGGTTCAATTACCTGACATTTGTCAGAAATACCAGCAGATGGATGAACTGCTGGCTCCTCCAACAGTTTGGGGGCCTAGTTATGAGAAAACAACAAAAAGTGAGATAGGATATGCAAAAAAAAAAGGCATATGGAGTGGTATAAAAACAATTTGTAGAATTCAAAAAGGTTACAAATTCAAAAGTTCTTGCACATATTTAGATAAACTAGTTTGCAGAGTAAAAGCTGAGCTTTTTTGTGGACATCTCTGTCTTTTCCTTGGAAAAAAGACTGCGTGCAGTCCCGCAGATTTAAAATCATGCTTGAATTTAAATACAACAAACCATTCAGAACTCATGTAATATAGAAACCCGGATCCTGTGAGGATGCATGTCAGAGAAGCAGGCTTACTGTCTGACTCACCAGCCGATTTGCTTCTATGTAAGCAGCAAGAGTGTTAACACGACAGCACAGGCCCTGGTCCATAATATGGACGTAGCAGCGCAGCTTCCCCCCATGGTAAGCCTCACTCATGTCACCACGGTGATCGTTCCAACAGGAGCGCTCCTGGGCCAGTTGGAGGAGAGGCTCGTCCCGTGACGAGATAAGGAGCTCTGGGAAGAGCCAAAAAAAGAGCACAAAGTTAGAATTTCTCTGCTACAATCGTCAGGATTTTCTGTTTTATGTTATCCAGTTAGGAGGAGCAAACCAGCCTTGATTTCATACAATAACGAGAGCTGGATCCAAACTGATGCTATGCAAGTACGATTTAGAGATTTTAAACATGTTGTACTGGTGAGCAGTGTTGATTTTCAGTATATTCTCGTGTACGGTTCTACAGTGTCAATAAAAACAATAACCATGGTTTGTAGAGCCGTCGTTCTTTTTCTGGGTTTGATCCTCCGAGTCATCTTTCATCTTCTGACTGTTAGCTGCCTTTGAAAACTGCTTGCGCACCAAATATGGTACCAACTCGCCACGAATCGATGAAATAGACCTAAGAAACAAAGAAATGAAAAGAAAAAAGAAAACTCTTTTTTTTTACTCAATACAAGTGAAACTTGTAGACAAAGCAATGTCTTTTGCACCCAACAGTGTGCACATACTCCAAGCTTGGGATTGTGTCTTATACCCAACTAGAATATTAGTTTTACAGGATATATATATATATATATATATATATATATATATATAT